CCGCTGTCATGAACAAATTTGCAGTTCTGTACCTATGTATACTTTTTACCTTATAGCTAAAAATATTATCTTCATTATTGCTCACAAGTATTTTGAAGTATCTTACACAGTTTTCATCATGCTCTTGCTCATAGCATTTGTTGTGCTTCTTAACCTAAAATGCAGTTTTCCTAATGTTTTAATTGCTCATAGTTTTCAATGCCTCTCCTTCACTTTCAGTGAAATTACCTGTTACATATTTGGTATCGTCCAATGCTGTTTTATTTGGTTTCAAATGCCTTTATCCTTGCTATTTTTTTATCTTTTTAATATTAAATTTTCAATTTCTCTTTGAAACTTCTCCTTCCTGAAAAACCTGATATATTGTTAATAATAGTGTAATTAAAAAATAACATGTCTCAGCTATCAAAGTTTTCAAAGATCCCATTATTTTTCTGTGTTTTAACCATATGGTTAAAATAGGTATTCTCTTTACTTACTTACATTTTGCTTTGCTTTGTTAGTGAGATCGGGTCTCACTATGTTGCCAGGGTTGTTCTCATTTCTGAGTCAATTTATATTGCTTAGCTTTTGTCTTCATTGTGAGTCATAATTTATTTTTCTGATTTCTCCTAATATTATAGAGTATGGAAGACAGTGTGGTTTTACCAGTATGAGGGGTACTATGTGTTTTATCACTGTAAATATTATTGAGTTTTCTGGGGGGACCACATGAATGTATTTTGAGAAATTGAGTTTCAGAGGCTTGCTTCTAAGCTTTATTAGGCAATCCTGAAGAGCCAAACAAAGAACCTTTTATTGAGAGCTAAATTTGGCCTGCTACTGATGTAATACTTTTCTAAGTATTCTAACCATGCTCTATGTTTCACACCTACGTGTCACTGGCTGATGGCAAGATAGTTTATTCTAAGTACTGCTTTTTTAATTAATAAGTTTCTGTATTGTGAAAATACCTTGAACTCTAAGCATTAAGCATTATACAACCTGGTCCTTCCTCATGCTCTCCCCAGGCTTATGGAACTTCCTTACATTTACTTGTTCTAAACAAAACTCAGATTATCACAACCTTTTGTTGATCTCCAGAATTTTCCTTTCAGGTTCTTTCCTGTTTCTACTTTTCTCCTCTTCAGCATTCTGTGTTCATTGGAAGCCCTTCTCTCTATTAATCTCAACTGCATCTCCCCCAGGGAATCACTGGCTCTCTTTAAGTTTCATCTTCTGCTACCGGTTGTAAATTCCTTCCAGGAAATAAGATGGGACAACTCTTATGCTCATTTTGCCTTTTTCTTTTCTCTTCTCTCAGGAAACACTGTTCTTTATTCCCTGTTGTATTACACCTCAACTTTTTGCATTGTATCTCTCTCTCTTTTACTCTTATAAAGAAGCAAAAGAAATCTGTTCCCTGATAGGCTAAATTCCTGCCCTACTGAAACCCTCAAAATGCCTAACAATACTGAATAATCTGATTCTATTTGCTACTATGAATTCAGATTCACGTAATTACTAATCTTCACCTACACAGTACTCTTTTCTAGTTTTAAAAATGATACCAAGCATTCAGCTTCTTATTTGAGATCTGGGCTAGAATGTTCTTCCATCTGGCTTATTTCATTTCCTTTCAACAGTATTCTGTTTAGGACACTTTTCTTACCACATGATCTAACAATAAAAAATGTCATTTCTACAAAATTTTGTCTCCTCTTTTCAAATTCAGTTTTCATTTTAGAACCTATTACTATAAAGCTATAATTATTTATTTTATTTTATTTTTTGTGACATACTGTACAGAGGGGTTACAATTACATGGGCAGGATAATGCGTACATTTCTTATCAAGCATTGCAGCCTCCTCCTTTGTTTACCCTTCACATCCCTTCCCAGCCTCCTCCCCCACCCCCCCAATCCTCCCGCCTCCCACCCTCAACCCCCTGCACCAACGTTGTAAAACTCATTTTCGACATGACAACTTGTACTTCTCATTGTTGCAACAGGTCCACCTGTATCCTTAAACGACTTGTTTTTCCCCATCTCCTCCAGAAGTTATACTGACATCAAATATGGCCAATAAACACATGAAGAAATGCTCAACATCCTTAGCCATAAAAGAAATGCAAATCAAAACAACATTGAGATACCACCTCACTCCAGTTAGAATGGCAAAAATCAAGAACTCTAACAACAACAGATGCTGGAGGGGATGTGGACAGAAGGGAACCTTACTTCATTGTTGGTGGGAATGTAAACTTGTTCAACCACTTTGGAAAGCAGTATGGAGGTTCCTCAAAAGACTTCACATAGAGCTCCCCTATGACCCAACAATCCCACTTTTGGGCATTTACCCAAATGTTTACAAACAAGACCACACTAAAGCTACCAGCACGACTGTGTTTATTGCAGCCTTATTTACCATAGCTAAGATATGGAACCAACCCAGATGCCCCTCAGTAGATGAATGGATCAAGAAAATGTGGTATACATACACAATGGAATTCCATGCCTCCATCAGAAAGAATGACATTGCCCCATTTGTTAGGAAAAGGAAAGACTTGGAAAAAATTATATTAAGTGAAGTAAGCCAGACCCAAAGAAACATAGGTCCCATGGTTTCCCTTATTTGCAATATCTAATATATGTATGAGTCAAGCGGAAAAGGTCAGATAATGTGATGTTAGGAAAATGAACCCTTAGATATGTATTTTAATGTTTTTTTCTTTCATGCATTTGTTTCTAACGCATTTATAAGATTATCTCTTTGTTGCTTTGTATGGCCCTCCCCCACAGTATAAAGCTATAATTATTATTTAATTATAGTGTTTATTATGTCTCCCTTCTATTTAGAGTAACTAACATCAGCAATCCTGGATTATTTTTTCATTAGTTTGTGGCTTTGGTCAAAGTGTGTAGAGAGTTCCTAGAATATTCACTAATTATTATGAAATCAAGCACAATATATATTAACATTCTTATATATACATTCATTTCTATATACAATTTTATATAATCTTTTTACTGACTGTATGAAGAAATTTGACACCAATAAAGAAGGAATTATGTTTTCATGAGATTTTCAAAGCATTTTGAAACTTTAAAGCATTTTGAGACTTTAAATTGATCATAAAGGCCATATTGAGATGTATCACACATTTTCTGTGAAAATCTGAAAAAAGGGAATTCTGGCTCAGGTGGGCAATAAGGGTCACAGAGACCAAAACTTCCCAATGTGTTCAGAAAACAGGATAACAGAGGCAAACAAAAGAAGAGACACAAGAAACAGGGCCTCACTTATCTGATGGAAAAATCTGATATGAAGGAAAGGAAATTGGGGGAAAGCCACCTTTTATCTTGAATCTGATATCAAGTTCATGGAACATGTGATGGTGCACCAGAAATATGGATCTCCATTTTTTATTATTATAATTTTGTTCCAATTATCATGTTCTCAATCAAACTGGGTTACAGTACTCCTTGGAATCTAAGGCAAAAAAAAGGAAAGAAAATTTCTAGTCATTGTGACTTCTTAGAATTCAAATGACTTTTTTTTAGGTATTTGCAAACACAAAATTTCCATATCATGGAGGAACAAAGTTTAAATAGCGTTGGGTTGATCTACTGCAAATCATCAGCTACAGACACCTCTGGGCTTCCATCTGGAAAAACCAGGTAACACTTTATGCATTCTTTCTCCTACAGCTTGTACCTGTGAACATATTTTAAAATCTTTTATGCTCATCTGTAAGATAAGTCAAAGTATTTTGAAGATGCTAATGACAATATGCTACATTGCCTCCAAGTCTTTCTTGTAATATAATCTTGTAAGCTATCTTTTTTCTGTATTTGAACACAGCTAGTGTCTAGACACTGACAAGTGTCCCATAAAGTACTAAGGTTTTGTTCTGAGTCAGGACCAAGATACTCTGGTTTCTAGAAAACTAGCCTTGTTTAAATTGATTGGGAAAGAGTTATATAAGATATATTCACTTCACACATATAATAAAAAGCAATCCAATATGCCTTGAAATTTAAACAAAGAAATTTATTTGAAATTATACAGTACACAAACTAAAATACATAATCCAATGCCAGCGTATGCCTTTTTATTGTCACATTGATATAAATCACAAATAAATTTTGGTATTGTTTGAGTAAAATTGATAAATACCCCTTGAAGTTAATTTTAAGAAGTATATATTAAGAAGTAAAATATATTGATAGGTTAAAACTATCTTTATATCCATTGTAATTACCTCATTAAGGCCCAGAGAAAAATAGACAGAAAACCTTATGAAAATTGCTTATTTCCACAGAAGTAAAGGATGATCAATCTGAGAGTCATCTCAGAAATTACATTCCCCACCCAGATGTGTCCTGTGTATTTCGTGAGACCTGGTGGATCTCAGTGACTTACTGAGGGCTCAGTGGCCAATCCAGGGTAGAGCCTCAAGGCAGCAGAACTCTTCACCCCCAGCCTGGGGTTAAGTCTGCTGGCTGCCTTTATAAGGGATTTCTTGTTGCTTTTGTCCATTCTTCATAGAGCATCCATTAGTGGGAATTAATGCTCAGAACTGACTGCGTATGAATGAACTGTCCGTATTAACAGACCTGGGTTTAAGTCCTGCTGACAAAAGTGTCTCATTCAAAATAAATTGTGACATCTATATTAATGAAATTCTCAAAGAATATGTTTTTATTCATCTTCATTGCTTTTTTCTCATTTTATGGACTAAAATAATAACAAATAAATCACAGAACATGTAACTTTTAGATGATATTACACTTTATAATACATATACTATACCATATATTAATATATATTATATATTATAGTATAATATATTACATATATTACTCATAATACATTACATATTCAATATTTTATATATAATATGTGTAATGTATTATATTATATATTGATATAATTTACAGTGTGTATTAATACACATCATATTATATATATATATATATATATATATATATATGTACTTCTACAGGATACCATTAACCATGAAGTTCTTCATCTTTACCTGCATTTTGGCTGTTGCTCTGGCAAATCATGTAAGTATAGAAGGACTACATGGTGGTATTGGCTCCTACTTAAATACATGAAAGAGTGATCAGTTAACTATATACAAGATGCAGGTAATGGCAGTAGCAGAGTCTAAGGACATAATCTTGTCATCTGTGACTAATATTGATAGTAAGTCACAAAAAAAGAAGTAAACAACTGTTCCACATTTTGGCTTCTGTGTGCTCTTACACAGGCTCTTACACATTTGCTATGATGACACATCATAGAAAATGTTGGAACTATTTTTGAAGGCCAGCAGTCTTCCAAGTGACAGAAAAGGTTCATTTTTCATTTTAAAAGTTCACTAATCATTATGGAAAAATATAAAATGAGGATATTTTCCACAGAATAAAAATCTGTGGGTCTGGATTTTTTGTAATAGTTTTGCCAAAATGCCTATTGAGGATTTAATAATAATAATCACATTACAAAATGCTGTGTAACAGGTAAAGCACATGAAATTACTTGGTAAATGCAGATACACACATATCTATGTGCATTATAGCATCAGTATTTTAATATTTCAACATTATTACACAACCTCAACTCTCATTGTAGTATGAAAAAGTTTGCAAAGAAAAATAAAATAAGAAAATTTTGGCAGTATTTCATCTGATCAGTAGTTTCTTCCCCTTCTCTTTCTTGTTACTGAGTAGTTAGTTGAAATAGTTTCATTTAATAGGAAATATTATCCCATTGAAAATAGTTCTGTTTGCTATGATTAGGTATTTGTTATTAGCACATAATATAGGAGGATATTCAGAAGTTCTGTGTTACAGATTTCCCAAAACCTTCATAATGAGATCAATGTTTATTGATTATCATTGAGACTAGGATAATTTTTCAAATAGTCTCGTCCCTATAAATTTACAAAAAAAATGTTTTCTAAATATCCTTTTCCATTAAGCAGTAAAGACAAGCGATTCACTTTAGCATTTTCAATAAGCATGACAGGTAACTGTATGTTTGTCTTGTTATTGTTACAGGAGCAAAACCAGGACTCCTTCAGTGAGGTAAGATAAAGATAAATTATAACTCTTCATAGTATGTGATAAATCCTTTTAATTTGTGATTACATGTTACTAGCATGTAGAGTCATGAAAATTTGAAGTACAAGCATTGCAAAAAGAAAGTACAGGAAAAATAACCCAAGATCTATGCATAAATATATACCAGGATTAGATTTGTGCAATTTTCCACTAATTGATCCAAAAGTCATTAAATAACTGTAATTTAAATGCAGGAGGAACGGTGAACAGCCCATATGTTGTGAGTGTAATAATAGAAGTTCCTTATGTTTATTTCTGAAGGGGGTACATTTTCATTTATATTTCTGAATAGCTTATTGCCATGCACTAAGAACCAACGCCCAAATCTTTCAGTACCACCCAAAGAATTGTGTTATTCTACTGTGATGCAACCTGTTTAAAAAGTCAAAGAAAAAAAATAAAAAATTCTACAGAAGACAAAATTCTCTCCTCTTAATATTACAAGTGCAAAACTATTGAAATGGGGTTTTCTCATTGATAGTGAACAATAAATTATTTAATGTAATAAGCTAATTAGAGAAGAAAAAGACTTAAGCTGGGAAAGTGCGTGCCTCACATGCATAAGGCCTGGGTTCAATTCCTCAGCACCACATAAGCAGAAAATGCTGGAAGTGGCGCTATGGCTCAAGTTGTATAGCACTAGCCTTGAGCTGGAGCTGAGGGACAGTGCCCAGACCCAGAGTTCACGCCCCACAATCGACCAAAAAAAAGACTTTTAATATATGACATTAAAATGTTAAGAATTTTCTTGAATTATTATATAATGAATGTGTAATGCTACTTCTTTGTATACTTTGAATAAAAATTCATAGACAAGTTATCAAAATGCATTATCATTTCTTTTTCTAAGGAATCTGTCAACGTCTTCCAAGAAGTAAGTCACAGATTCCTATATTACATTTAGTTTTTAAAACATAATTTTGTGTAGCTATAAAATGAATATTATTTGTTTTTCCAGAAATATAAGCAGGACAATAATGTGATCTTCCAAACAAGCCAGGTAAAGTTCATTATTCATATCTTCATGTTGATTGATGGGCTATGTTTTCTATAACTCATGAGTTATTTTTCCATCTGTCTATATGATTATTATTTGCTGAGTGTCAAATAAATGATGAGCTCATTGTCAACTACTGAACAATAATGTGAAAATATCCCAGGAAACCATATTTATGGTTCATTTGTTCACCCTGTTTTCAAAGTTCCTGTTTTTTTATTAATAAGTTTTTTAATTGCAAAAATACCATACAGAGGGGTTACAATTACATGAGCAAGGAAATGACTACATTTCTTATCAAGCATTGTTGCCCCCTCATTTGTTTCCCCTTCCCATCCCTAACCCCCTCCCCCGGGTCCAGCTGTATCCCTATTTAAACAATTTGTTTTTTCCCTTTCCCTCCACAAATTATACCAACATCAAATACAGTAAAAACAGTGGTTATGCCGTGGAGGAGAGACGTACAAAACAACAAAGAAATCATCTTATAAATATGTTAGAAACAATAGCAAGAAAGAAAAACAATTTGAGTCCTTATGTTGGGGTTCATTTCGCCTAACATCAATTTATCTGATTGTTCTTACTTGTCTCAGCCCCTCAGTAGATGAATGGATCAAGAAAATGTGGTATATATACACAATGGAATTCTATGCCTCCATCAGAAAGAATGACATTGCCCCATTTGTTAGGAAAGGCTTGGAAAAAATTATATTAAGTGAAGAAAGCCAGGTCCAAAGAAACATAGGTCCCAAGGTTTCCCTTATTTGCAAAATTCCTGTTTCCTAAGGACTTCTTTATGTTTTCTTACTTTCTCTTCAGCTCTCAAACAATTGCAATTTTTTACTTTATCATTCTTATTTCAACTCTTCTAAGATTTTCTTTTTTATGTTTTTTATTGTAAAAATACTGTACAGAAGGGTTACAGTAACATGAGTAAGGTAATGAGTACATTTCCTATCAAGCATTGTTACTTCCTCCTTTGTTTTTCCCTTACCATCCCTTCCCTCCCAACCTCCCCAATACCTCCCCTCCCCACAAGTGGTAAAGTTCGTTTTCAACCTAATGTCTTGTACATTTCATTGTTACAATGGGTCAACCTGTATCCTTATTTCAGCATTTTGTTATTTCTCTTCCCTTTCCCAAATTATAAAAATATATATACAAGATGCCAGGCACCAACATCAAATACATTGAAAACAGGGGTTATACTGGGGGGGAGGAACATTCAAGAGAGAAAAAAAATCACATAGTACATTTTAAATACATTAAAAACAATAGCAAGAAAGAAAAAAACAGTGTGTCCCTATTTTGGGGTTCATTTCACTTAACATTATCTTATATGGTCATATGTACATAGCTTTTCATTGAGTGATCAAATAATAGGTTATATGGAACATACCTGAAGCAACTACTAATATTCAAGAAATAATATTGAGGACTTCCTTCTTTCTGGTCACCAAGTCTTTTAGTCTTGTTTTATCTTTATTTATCAAAAACTCCAATAGAATATCATCCAGGGAAATAATTATATAACTATTCCTCTGAAGACATAGGGATGACTATGCTTATAATAGGTATTTTTAATCTACCTTAATTTTACATGTGAAATTGGATTTTACACTGAGTCTGAATTATATCAAGAGATTGTCAATTACCTTCACTGCAGCATCACTTTGTCAACCCCTTAATATTGTTGGGGTGACCTGCACATGGTGGAGGGGGGACATTAGGTAGCATCAGCAGCATCTGGAAAATTACTAGAAATACAAAGTTTGGAGCTTGTGGTAACTTACTGAATTAGAAACCCTGGGTTAGGCCTACGCAGCCTGTATTTTCACAAAGCCTAGAGATGATATTGATGCATATTGGACTTTGAGAATGGATTTGGGTGGGGAGAGGTTGGTTGTTTGGTGTTGGAACTGGGTTTGAACTCTAGGCCTTGAACTTCCTAGACAAACGATCTTCATGGTCAAGCCTTTTGGCTTTAGCTTTTTTTGTATATTCTCACCCTTTCACTCAGGCAGGTCTCAGACCATAAATATCCAACAAATGCCACCTGCTTAATTTGGCACACACAGGTGTGTGTGCCATGTTACCTTTTTTTATATAATAGGGACATGGTAACTTTGCTTTGTTCAGGTTGGCCTTGAATTTTTCTTTCTTTTTTTAATGTTTTTTTTAATTGTGAAAGTACTGTACAGGGGGGTTACAATTACATGGGCAAGGTAATGAGTACATTTCTTATCAAGCATTGTTGCCTCCTCCTTTGTTGTTCCCCTACCATCCCTTCCCTCCCATCTCCACAACTACACCCCCCCCCCACACACACACACTTAAATTGTAAAGTTCGTTTTTCAACATAGTGTCTTGTACATCACATTGTTGCAATGAGTCAACCTAACCTTGAAGTTTTCTATCACTGCCTCTCATGTAGCTAGAACTACAGGCATGTCCCACCACACCTGACTGTAGAACCATTTCTAAGGGACTGAAAAAGGGTTGTTAGTAATTATGTTAAGTCACCAATACTTGCAACACCTTGTGTTGAGTGGAAGAGCTAGGTTGTGAGAGTAAGTTGAGAGAGAAGGCAAAACTATCATGGATCATAGTTTAGATCTGTGGCTTTGGATGAAATCTCAATTGTTCACAGTCCATGTTTCATGCCTCATTTCTCAGCACACTTAATTTGCTTTGTATTTATGGCACTTACTTGGACTTGACAGACATAAGAAATTGTCTGAATAACGTAGAATTAACAATGTTCAAAATAAAGCATATGTTAGTTATTTTATTATGCTAGCAGAAACAGAGAGCTTAGTGCTAGAGGAGTTGGACTATGAATATTTATATATTTGCCTCTAGTGTTATACTAAAATTGTTTACAGATAAATAGTACTGTGCCATTCAAGTCATGCTAATTTCTTTTTGTCCTTTTAGGAGTCTGATGAAGCAACCAATGAAGTAAGTAATTCTGGTTCAACTTTATTTATTTATTTTTTATTTATTTATTTGTTTTTTATTTTACTTACATACTAGCATCTGAATTCAGAGCTTTGAGTATACATAGGTACTCTACTATTTACCCGACTTGTGTGTGTGTGTGTGTGTGTGTGTGTGTGTGTGTGTGTGTGTGTGTGTGCTGATTCTGTGGCATGAACTCAGAGTTTCAGTCCTATCCCTGAGTTGTTTTTTCCTAAAACTTAGCACTGTATCACTTGAGCCATAGATTTCTTCCAGATTTTTGGTGGTTAATTGGAAAGGAGAGTTTCATGGACTTTCCTCTCCAGGCTGACTTCGAACTATGATCTTCAGATCTCAGCCTCCTGAGTAGCTAGGTATACAGGTGTGAGCCACCTGCAGCTAGCCTCTTACCCCTTTCTTATTTTAGTTATTTTCCTAATAAAGTTATGCTTTTGCTCTGAGCTGACTCCTACTTATACCTCTTCCTAGCTGGGACCACAGGTATATAATGCATGCCTGGCTTGTTGATTAATATGGGAATCTCACTAACTTTATGCCCAAGCTGGGCTCAAACTGAAATCATTAATATTTTGGCCTCCTAAGTAGCTAGGATTATATAGGCCTGAATCACTACACTGTTCTATAAGTCTATTAGTTAGTGTTCTTAATAACATTTTAGATTTGTATATCACTAACATGTGCCTCATTCTTAACAGAAATATGAGCAAACTGAGGAAGCAAAGGCCAATGTAAAGGTGCTGGTAAGTTTTCTATATGGTTTTACCTCAATAAAAGAACATACTGTATAACTCTTTCTCTTCCAAGTGATCACACTATTTTTCATTTGTATATGTTTTGTGTGTGCCATTCCTGAGGCTTGAACTCAGGGCCTAGGTGCTGTTCCTGAGCATTTTTTGCTAAAGACTAGTGCTCTACTACTTGAGCCCCAGCTCAACTTCCAGTTTTTCGTTGGTTAATTGGAGATAAGTATTTTATGACCTTCCCTGTCTGAACCATGATTCTCAGTCTCAGTTTCCTGAGTAGCTAGGATAACAGGTGGGAGCCAACAGCACCTGGTTCACTTTTTTTTTATGCAGTTCACATTATTTTTTCTTTTACTTTTTTTTTTTGCCAGTCCTGGACCTTGAACTCAGTCCTGGCCTCTGTCCCCCGAGCCTCTCTGTGCTCAAGACTACAGCTCTACCACTTGAGCCACTGTAATACTTCCCATTTTTTTCTGAGAGGATTATTGGAGATATGAGTCTCATGAACTTTCCTGCCCATGCTGGCTTTGAACTGTGATCCTCAGATCTCAGCTTCCTGAGTAGCTAGGATTACAGGCATGTGCCACCAGTGCCTAGCCATTATTTCTTATTAATAAAAAGATTTAACATCAAATTTACTATAAAAAGACATATTTTTTCTATTGTTACTATGATGTGTATTACCTTGACAAATAGTTCGAAAAATGAAGAATTCAACTAAATTGAAAAGCATTCAAGCTTTTTTAAAAAAATTGAGAAAAATTATTTCTAAGGCATCATTTTAGTAATCACATATCAGTCATTCTACTTATCTCTGAAGTAACAGCATAGATCAGTGAGTCAAGAACAAAGGCTGATATTCTCACTCTGAACCAAATATGGTCTTGGAGCTCATCCTGTCCCCTGAACACTAGAGAAATGTGAAGTGCAAGGAAAGTAAGCAAACTCTGGGGTCAGAAAAGTGTGTTTCAAATGTATAATCCCCAAATTGCTGCTTAACCAGACTCCATTTTTCTGAACTAAAAATAACTTAGCAAGAATATTCTGCCAGTTTTTATGATGCCAATGTTGAGGAACACCTATAAATTTTATAATAGGAAACTTAAAAGGCAAAAATGGAATAGAAACCTATCATTAGTAGATGTATACTTAAAGAACAATTCAGTCTACATTTTTATAACAGTGTAGATACACAGTGTGCAGTTCAACAAAAAAGATCTCAAAAACAAACCATTTATTTTTATTTTTAATTTTTTAATATTTATTTATTATTGTGAACATACCATACAGAGGGGTTACAATTACATGGGGAAGATAGTGAGTACATTTCTTATCAAGCGTGGTTGCCTCCTCCTTTGTTCACCCATAGCATCCCTAAAGGAAAAATAATGGTCCAGTAGTTTTCTTACATTTTCTCTAAATGTTTCTAAAGGCATTCTCTTAATACACTCTTATTATGGTCTTGTGTCTACACAATATTTATTCCTGGATAACTCTAAAGACATACTGGTGCCTGTTCTCTTACCATCTATATGAAAAGGAAATTCTTTGAAAGTGATCATTCAATTCCCCATGATTCTGCTTTTCACTGTTACAACAATGGTCAAGTATCATTGCCAAGTCAAAGCTAGAATATGCTTAAGTCTTCATTTAGCTGGACACACAGAAGTGACACACACACACATAAATGGAAAGTGAAGCTCAAAGAGGTCAAACAACTAGCCCAGGGTAAAGAGAATATAAACAAAATTGTCTCTGACAGCAAGAACCAGTCTTTTCAATTGGCTGTGAAAAAATAAATAAATGTGAGATTTCTTGATATTTTCAACCTCACTTCTTACCCACTAGTAAATGAATCAAATGATTTCTTCCATCTTAAAGTTCACTTTCTTCACTTTCAAAGTGGACATTACATTATAAATATCTCTGACACGGTCAATTTGAGGTAATTTAGAAATATCCTAAATAACACTTGAATTCATTGGATTTTATTCGTGTATGCTGTGGTTCATGGAGAGTATTCAATACTAATACAAATATTGATACATTTCTTTCCCTTGCAGAACAAAATCAGACAGTTTTACCAAGATGTCTTCTTCCCTCTGTATGGTCAAGTTCACCCCCAGCAGGTTGCCATGAACACATGGAATCACGCTACGGAAAGCACCTGCTGTAATAGTCCCAGTCAGGTAAGGTCTGCAGTTTTTAAAAATTTTCTTTAGGGAAAAATAATTAGAGGTAAACTTCCCTAATCATTTTCAGTGTAATTTTTTTAAATTAGTAACATGTTATGCACAAAAATTATATCAAATCATGCAGATCCATGACTAGTAAAATCACTATTGGTAATTAAAAGAAAAGTTAATTTGTATATAACTATTGTATTAATTTACATATGATTTGATTTGATTCTGACAGTCTTTAAAGTAAGAAGCAATGGAGAATATCATCTCCAATTTGGAAAAGGATCTGAAATTTTCAAAAATAAGTTGTTTTCAAAATGCTAGCTAAGATCTCCATTTCATAAAGACTTATTGGCTCAAGGACTACATTTTTTTGAGAAATAAGTGTCAGAGCAGGAAACTAAACATAGGAAGCAAGTACTTAATTTCAGCCTGAAAGTTGAAGACAGGAGACCAGAGATGGAGTCTTAGACATAACAAAAGCAGGCTATGTGACTAGGTAACTTTGGGCAGGGGCCCTGTCTTTTCTGTACTTTCGACCTTAGATGTGAATGGTTTTCTAGGTGCCCTTAGAAACCTAAAGATACCATTAACACCATCAGAATGAATTCATGTTCATATTGTCAGTTTGAATGCTAGATAACTAAAGAAATATCCTAAATGTCAGTCTGTTTTCATCTGAAATAGGTGTTAACATTTTATGTCCAGAAGATGGCAGAGTTGGGATATGAAAATGGTAGATGAACTAGTAGGCTTTAACTATTAACCAACAAGCAAGTGAATCAAGGACCCTGTCATAAACAGAATAGGCAAGTCAGCTAACTCGCTTTCATGCTTCACAAATGGTTGTTGCAATTGCACTTCAGCAGTTATAGGTGAGAAGCATGCTTTTTATTCCATACTGCCTTGAATTTATTGGGGATTTCTCTGCCTGGCAAACCCTGTCACAGCATGAGAAAGATCCAAACCTATATTTGTAAATGGGACTTCACCATTCTTGGTAATAATGGTTTGGGATATCTAATAAATATAAAGCAAGAATACCTGGTAGAAATGAAATTAATGAGCAAAAGTCAGGACTGATTGTTAACTGACAACTACTTACAAAATAATCTCCAGGCAAAATATCTTATACAAATATCTCTTATAAAATAATAGACTTTCCACTTCATTATTTGATTAGGTCATAAAATTGAAACTTATTTTTCTCTTTATACAGAAAAAAGAGTTCTGCTGCGCCGTTGAGGTAAGATATTTTCCCATGAAAATGAAATCTTGGCATCTAGTTCCAAATATTAAAGTCTCTATGAACCTGTCTTTATTCTAAAGTTTTATCATTTTAGGGATAAGGTTAGAATTATAGAATCATAGGAGCTAAAACTTCATTACAACAAGGATGAAAATCACTCATGAGCAGACTGAAACTAACATTCGGAGATAGATTTGTGTACTACCAGGAGGCATCAAAATAATTAATGCTACCTTATTAAAAGTGACTGAACAATAGTTTTATTTCTTCTGGAGTAGCATGTCTGCCCTCAGTTTTATAAACTGAATAAGAGGAATCCATTGCATGCTTCCCAAGTAAGAACTCAAGCTCTTACATTTAGGGCAATTTCCAAAAACAAATTCCTGCCCAAGTTACAAAACATATGTCTAGAGGCACCCTGACTAGCAACTAATGATTCATTAATTTATTCCCTCTCTGGCTTTACTAATGAAAGTAAGAGCATAGTAGAAAATAACATTTTGAATAAACATACTTTAAATGTACTATTTAATACTTTTTCTAAGCAATTAACCCGAATCTTCCAGGAGGTAAGACATAAAATAAATTTGATAGTTGTCTTATTTTTCTAATTTTGTAGTTATATAAGTTGTTGTGTAATTAGTATAAGCAGAATTCAACAGATGAACTAAATCCCTTATTTCCTATGACAAAGACCTTATAATGTAGTGATCTTAACTCTTAGAAATCAATATAATACAGTTATTGTTATTATAGCTGTTTAGCAAATATTCATCAAGTATGTTAATAAAACATGTTAATAAGACTTACTCTAATATATAAATACTTTTATACCAAATTTATCTTCCCCCGCACCCCAGTCTCTCTGTCTCTCTCTGTCTCACTGTCTCTCTCTGTGTCTCTGTCTCTCTCCCTCTCTCTCTCTGTCTTTCTGTCTCTCTGTCTCTGTCTCTCTGTCTCTGTGTCTCTGTGTCTCTGTCTCTCTCTCTCTCACACTCTTGTCTCTTCTCTCTGTCTGTCTTTTTGTTTTTGTGGTGCCAGATCTGGGGCTAGAAGGGACCTGGGCTTTGTCCCTGAGACTTTTTTGCTCAAGGCTAGTGCCCTACCAATTGGTCCACAGACTGGCTTCCAGCTTTTTTATGGTAATTGGAGCTAAGGGTCTCATGGACTTTCTTGCCCAGGCTGGTTTTGAACTAATATTTTCAGATCTTGGCCTCTTGAGTACTAGAATTACTGGTGCAAGCCACCAATGTCCAGGTCCTAAATATATCTTTAGTATAATAAACACAGTATTATTTTAAATGTATCTTACTATGAAAATTAATGAATTTACCCACCTATTTGAGACATACGTATTTAGCAAATAATATAATCCCTTAATTCGGAGACATGAAAATTAAGAAAAATTCAAAGTCTTAGACCTCTGGGGGATTATTTCTGTTGATATATTCAAGAGCAAATTTTGCATAATCAATACAGTGGAAACAAGGTATTTAATTTTTCTTCTTTTCTTGATTTAGAAAATCTTGAAGAAGATTAGTGATATGGTAAGCATTTTATCTATATAGAGGAATATTTGCTGTCATTTAAAAGTAGCATATGTGGGAATTTTCTCTTTTAATAAACCTGAAAGACATATTGTCCAGAACAAAATACATTAACCTTTTTGGTTAATTGTATCTCAATAAAGCTGGAAAATAGAAGTAAATAAAACACAGAAATTAATGAACCAGAAAGAGATCTTTTCAGTTGTAAAACAGCAAATATTTTATTTAATCTTTTGATTGCAATTTTTTAATTCTCTCAATTAAACATTTCTATTTATATACAATATTATATGTAATATTATATTAATTAAATCCACTTCTATTTTCATGTTTTATACTGCTTTTTAAAAGTTTTTTTTTTCCTTTCTCTTTTTTATACAAAGTATCACTATGTACACCAGGCTAGTTTTGAACTTACCATCTTCCTAGCACAGCATCCTGAATGCCTAGCTTACAAGCCTATGCCACAATGGCTGGTTGATTTTTAAATTTCATTTTTGCTGACCTTAATTTGCCTGCCAGTCACAGTTATGATGAAGTTGACAATATAATAATACTATTATATTACTTTTATTCATACTGCTGCTTTTTAAATGTCACAGATTCATTTACCTGTTGTCTTCTGATTCCTAATATTTTTATTACTTTTTTAAAAAAATTTTAGGACACCTCTAGCAATTCATTTAGTGCTTCTTTTAAATCAAAAAAAAGCAAACAAACAATCTTAAAATAATATAATTTTGGCTGCCATAATTTTAAACAAAATTAGTAGTTCCAAACTTTTAAGTCATATCACAATATGAAATAAAAGAAACAGAGTTAACTTCAGTTTAGTAGATCTGACTATAACTGAAATGCTTATGCTGATTTGGAAGTGGGTGGTGGGGAAGGTGTACTCATGTTAGGGTTTGAACTCAGGACCTGAACATTGTTCCTCAACCTTTTTCACTCAACTTAGCACTTAAGACACAGCTTCCCTTCCAGCATTCTGGGTGGTTAATTAGAAATTAGCATCTCCAGTTAGAAAGTAGGACTAATTACAGGCTTGAGCCACCATAAGCCACCATGTGCGATGTATTTATGGTGATTTTCATAGTAGTGAACTCTCCTTTGGCTCAAGTCTACTGGGAACAGTTCAGAAATTGTCTAAAGAATAAAGTTGTGGGTTAATTTGATTATTAGATTGTAACACTCTTAAAATTTGAAGATTATAGTGTAATTATTAATAATTTTATTTCTAGATCAAGATCAATCAAGTTTACCAGACCACTCCTCAACAGTATTTCCAAGCTTTTTACCCACAGCCAACAGTTGTATACCCTTGGAATTCCATGAAACAATACACGAACTCATACATTCCCATTGAGGTATGTTTGGATTCTTAAAAGTAACAAAATTATTGTCCTTTTTATGAAAAATATGTGATATAATGAAATTAAAGTCTCACAGAAATCAAATAAAATCTAAATAAAAACTGTCAAAGGCCATTAATACAGTAACAATCATATGATTCAAAGAGACTAATATTACAATAATGGAAAATCAATTTTATTTATAGTGGAGCTTAAATTTCTTAAACAACAGTGGTGCATAAAAAGAAAAGGTTTTCAAAGAAATGGTGGCCATAATTATTCATTCTAGACATTTTCTCTTCACTCAACATTTTGCCTCTCAGAAGATTATGTAGGTAGAAAGCTCCTAGATAGATAGACAGATAGATAGATAGAGGTTTATTGTACAAAATGTGAGCTACTTTACAATGAGCAAGCTCTACAAAATTCATATAGTCTGGCAGAGTCAAACCAAATGACAGTACAGGTACAATTTATATCATTCCTTGTTTTGTTCTGTTATATTTTCACTGTTAACATTAAAGTTTTATCTCCCTCAATATAACTCCTTTCAGTATCTCAACATCACCTATATTAAATTGGTGAAAATATTTCATATGGAAATGTGTAATAAAACAAAAGTTATAGATGGTCAATGTGAAAAAACTAAAGAAAAGCAAATCCAGTAATAGTCACTGATAGTTATTGTTTGTATAAAATGTAAGAGCCACGTTGCCATAGATTTGTGGTAAATTATGGAACCTGGATTCCAAATCAGAAGTGCTCCCACAGTTCTCTTCCTCTGGGAAGCCCCAGCTCAAGGTTAACCCACTATGCCTCTGCCAATTAAAGAACGAAAAAGCATTTTTTCTAGACCTATCAAGGGTATTGGTTCCAAAGCTTAATCTTAATTTGCTTTGAGTCTCCTGACACTGCAAAGGAATCAACAACTTTTTAAAGCACTTCTATGAGGAAAGATATTAATATATTTTTGTGGATGAGAGTTGAGGTTGCTGACATTGACAGTTTTAAATGGTAATATTCATTTCCATGTCATTAAGTTTTGATTGATTACCATGCATCCCACAATGAAAAGCGTGGTAGATAAGATAGTCACCCAAACCTTCCTTAACCTCTCCTAAGGCAAGGAAAAATTATCAAAGATTTTAGTGAGTGAAAATTAGAATGATGGGTATGATGTTGTGGGGAATGCAAAAAGTATTAATGGATCAGATTAAAACCTGAACCATTAGAAAACTCAAAAATAAACAAAACAAAATAATAGCAGAAGAATATTCTAAGGCAGAAGTCAATAATTAACAAAATATAATAAAATAAATCTATGAATGGAGATGTTTATAGTAAAATTTTGCTAAACATACTTATTTTGCAAGTCTATAATTTACAAAACAAATATTAAGACCTACAATGCTAACATTAGAAAACTATTATTATAGCTACCAATAATTATGTTCCACACCATATGTGTTGAATGACATATGTGAATATTTTAGCAGATGCATTTTTATGACCTACTATTTTCTATTTATAGGTTTGATTGAGAAAACCATTTCTATTCTGCTCCCTCATCTATCACCACATCTCCTACTTCAGCATTTCTTGGCATGCTTATTGAAAAGACAACAATCATGAACCAAAAGAAAATTATATGAGATGCTTTCTGCATTGTGTATAGTCTGCTTTTGGGTTATTTTGGCTATGCAAGATCTGGATTGTGATAGTCTATAAATTGTATTGATTAATAGATGTCTTTTCATCACTGTTTCCAAGATAAGTGCTGTAGTGTTTCCTGCCCAAACATTAAAAAATTTTAAATGCATTTTTAGATGTGTAGCCTTTCTCTTCTTCATTCCTTGTAGTTAGATACTTGGGCAGCATTACTAGATGAACCAGTCCTATGAAAACTGAATTTAAAACACCTTGAATAGACTGAAATATGATGGGCCCTCAATTGCAAATGTGTGTCTGCTATCTGATATCGGATCTCTATAAGTGTTATAAGTTTATAGGCCTCAACCATTCCTATAATCTTAGTTCTCCTAACATCTCCTCAATTTGTTCTTTGTCTCACATTTCTATCCCAAACCACTTTCACTGGAGTTCTCAATCACCAATCAGTCTATTCCTGGCCAACACATTGCAAATCAATCTGCTACAATTGAAACCGTTGATGGCTTTCTATAGCACCTATAATGTGGTAGGCATTTCTGCAGCTATTGTAAAGAAGAAAATAAAACAAAGACCCTTCTACATGTTTTTCAAATGTTAATCATGAAAGGAAAACAATAAACAAAAAAAGAACCTTAATAAGCTACTTGGTGATAACAACACTAAACGAGATTGGGTGGTCAAGTTCAGCAACTGTAGCAGGTGGAAATTAGAGAGAGGAGGTGAGATCAGTGTGAAAGAGAGCTAAGGAAATGGAGTTTGGGTAGAAAAAACAAAGAAATCAAATCTAGTCAAGAACCTGAATGCATAGAGCACAGGAAAGTGCCCAAAGAAGGACTAGGAAATTTAAAAAATTATCAAGGAGAAAGTGGGAGGAGTGGAAATGATCATGGCCTTGCAATTTGTATTAAATAATAGGATTAAGTACATTGATATTTATAAGCTATTTGCTGATGAAGTCATTTTGGAAAGACCAAAATAGTTAAAGCTAGTGGATCATTTATTTTGTTCAGCTTCATTTTAAATCATTTTCTATGTTTAAATTTATGTCAGAAACAGAAACAAAAAAATAACCTAACAAAAAAATCAGTGTTCAGCCAGATATAGAAGGCTCATGCCTATAGTCTTAGCTACTCAGGAGGTTGAGATCTGAGAATCACAGATCTAAGCCAGCCAGGGCAGAATAGTCCTCATGAGACTGTTATTTCCAATTAATGACTGAAAAGCTGGAAGTGGCACAGTGGCATAAGTGGTAGAGTGCTAGCCTTGAGCACAAAGCGGCTCAGGGACAGCACCCAGGCCCTGAGTTCAAGCCCCACAACCAAAAACAAAAATAGTGTTCTCTGATTTTGATCAAATTATTTAGAAAATTACAAAATATTTAGCAAAGTATTGGGGGGAATAATTGATTCTCAATTTTAAAATTCCATTACCTATATAGCTTTTCCCTGGTAACTAATTTTCATTCACTTTACAAGTGGTAAGACAATCTCAGCATGAAAAAATGCAAGCTGTTTGAGTAGTATATGTTGATGAGCAGTTCGTAAATATCATGAGAAAACTTTCAATGAAAATGAGGAAAATATTGAGCCCTTGTGAATTTGTTTCTTAGTAGTAACTCATTAAATAACCTACATTTAATAGGACCATTTTTCATGTGGGAATTACCCTTCTACACTTCTTTTGAAAATGATCTAGTCAGTTCATTATTTGCTCATTTATTGAGCAAATAAATTTATTGATTATTTAGTTTTCAGCTCTTTATATTTTGTAGATATTGAACCCATCAGATGAATATCTAAAACAGATTTTGTTCAAACCTGTATAAGTAGACCATCTCTTCATTCTGTAACTGTTTATTTGCCTTGCAGAAACCTTTTTAATGGATGCAATCATATTAGAAAGTCCTTGCTCTGATTTTCAGAGCTATACTGAAGTCCTATTCAGAAAGTCATTGCTTATGCCTATATCTTGAAGGGTTTTCCTTATATTTTCCTATAATATTTTCAATGTTTCAGGTGTTACATAAAGGTTTATTTCTCCCTAGCTTTATATCTTTTATTGTATGATACATCCTAGGGACAACAAGAAAACAATAAATGAGCATTCTACCTTATCAAAAATGTTAAACCCATGATTTTTTTAAATCTATAATAGTAATTTATGTTAAAATGTATTTCACTTTAAAATTGTTTGGCACGCGTAAGAAAAGCTATACATTTCTCCACATCCAGTCATTGATTATTCATGAAACTCAAATACAAATGGACTCTCAGAATATGGCTAAAGGACTGAATTTGTTGAAAATGAGCTTTACATAAAGTTTTTTCTTATTAATTTTAGTATATATTTGTTATTCTAAAGATACTGTACCAAAGAGTTACAATTACATGAGTAAGGTAATGAGTACATTTCCTATCGAGCACTGTTAACCTCCTTCTTTGTTTTTCCCCTACCATCCCTTCCTTCTATAACTCCCCAACTCCTCCTTCCCCACCCAAATTGTAAATTTCATTTTCAACATAGTGTCTTGTACATCTTATTGCTACAATGGGTCAACCTAAATCCTATTTCAGCATTTTGTTATTTTCTTTCCTCTCCCCAAATTAGAAAAATGTATGAACAAGATGGAGGGCACCAGAATCAAATACAGTGTGAAAACAGGAGTTATACCATGAGGGAAGAACATACAAAAGACACACATACACACACAAAAAAAACCATAGTACTTTACAAATACATTAAAAACAACAGAAACAAAGATAATACCTCTTATGTCCCTATCTCAGGGTTCATTTTGCTTAGCATCATTTTATATTCTCATATATACATAGCTTTTGACCTTTTCTACTTCTCCTAGACATATACTAGTTAATGCAAATAATGGAAACCATGGGACCAATGTTTGAAATCATTTATTTACACAATGAGAGATAGGGATCTAATTATATTGTATATCTAGTTTTCCTATACCAAAAAACTGTCTTTTCTCCATTTTAACAGGTTTGTTGACAATCACATGGGTCTGGCTGTATACATTTATGTTGAGATTCTTTATGGTATTATTACATTGGTCTGTGTCTGTTTTAGTACAAAACAAAAAGCTTCTGCACTGCAAAAGACATAGCTAGTAAGATCAATAGAAAACCCATGGACTGGAAGAAGGTCTTCACTAACTACACAACAGAAAAGGGCCTCATATGTAAACTAAACTTAAAACTCAAAATATTAAATTGTCCAAAAACAAATCCTCAAAGAAACAACTGACCCATTAATGAGTGTGCTAAAGACTTAAAGAGAGACTTCTCTGAAGAAGATACAAGAATGGCCAATATATACATGAAGAA